TAGTGATTGGCTTTAAGCAGGTTCTTTAGATTCCAGTCTTCCCCAGGCCCTGCCTCTCCCTGTGTTACATTAATACAAGTCACATAGCATTTGTGGGGCTAAATTTGACCTTTGTTGCCTACTGTGGAAAACTTGACTGATAATAGAAAAGGGCTATTTTAAAACAGAGTTTAGTGGTGATATAACCTTAACTGCCATAATCACTAATACCATGAAATACTATAAATCATAATGCTGCATTCTTAAAATCTTTTGTACATAAAAAAAATCTTTATAATAAAAACAGTCTTATTCTTATTTTTTATTTTTAGTCCTACCCCATGGTATTGCAGTATCGACCAAGAATTGATTTCGGTTAGACCAAAGGGCCTAGATCCCACCGAGATGAATCCTGCACTATTTGTTTACTCATCGACAGATTGCACAGTGAACGGTGTGTGGACTAGAGGGACACAACCAGATTTTCAGCATGCAAATAAGGCCACTGTCTGTCTGAATTGTCAGTTGCATTTATGTTATTTTTATTAAGAGCAAACCAAGTGCCATTCTGCTACTGAACCGTCTGCATAAGGTATTTGTGCTGTCTCACAGTGTACAATCAATCATGGTTACAATCAGTTAGGTATGCAGCCATGATCCAGCCATCTGAATATTTTGCTTGCTTGTTCTAAGATTGTTCTAATGTTTGACTACACTAGTAATATGGCTCAGTCTCTGTGGTGTTGTAGTTTTCATGTGCTATTTTATTAATTCTTGTTTAAATAGAGTACTGTACAAGAAACTAATAATTATACCTTGAAATTATTTTGTATGGAAAATATATTTAGACAACTGGTTTTTGAGCCACTGTCCTGTTCTTGGTAAGTTTTTTGTGTACAAAAGTAGTTTACTCAAGTGTGCAAGTCCTTTTGGGAAAAACTCATTATTCTTTAACATTAATGCACATTTTAAACATTTTCAGTCATCTGTCTGTGTAGTTTACCAATTGCAGAAGAAAGGCATACTAGCCCTCTCGATTGAAAATGTATGTGACTTCTTAGAGAACTGAAGTTAGATTCACAAGCATTTGAAACATTGGCAGCTGATCATATTTACTTTTAACAAAACAAATGTATGTGTAAGGTTAATTTTTCATAATGCCTTATGACAAGCAGGTGCTGCTTCATGAAACATCATTGTATAGTCCATTTTACGTGCATCTTTATATGGTTGCTCTCATTTGAGTACATTCTCTTTTTAAGTTGGCCTTAGGTGTGTGTCATTGTGGCATGCAGAGGATTTTGATGATTTTAAATATTAGGATTTTTAGAACAGATAGCACTAGCTATTTTATGGATTTCAAAAGTCTCAAAGCAACTGTAGATTAAAAACTGTTAACTTATTACATTTCCAAACCATATGCATAAAATAGAATAAATACATTGTAGCACATAAATATGCTAACCAAGGTAATGGGTTTAAGGATATTTTAGCTGCTATCATAATCAGGATGCAGTGGAATCACTGATTTATCCACAAGTTTAGTTAACAATCAGAGCTGTGGTTAATATCATTGATTGTAACTTCTGTTAAGTCTTCCATTCATTTTGAGATTAGGTTGCAAGTCCAAGAAAACCATGTTATGTTAAATGAAGAACTTCATTTTAAACTTTTTACATTTTACAATTGGTTTCAAAAAACTTCTTTGGAAGTTTTACTAATTGCTTCAAAACAAGTTAATGTCTCAGACTTAAGAAAAAGCCTCACAAGTTAGGGAAAATACTTATTTTAAAAATCAGACATGAGCACAAACTCATGTTTTTGTACTCAATAAGGTAGATGTATTACATTTTCTAGTAAAATGCATCGTAAAGTCATGCCTCCTGAAGCATCAAGATGCTTAGAAATATACTTTAAAAGCGCATACAAAATACAAATATTGATGCATTTCACAGTATAAAAGGCTGAAACTTCATTATTATCTTTCCTATATATTTTTATTTCAAGTCAGAAGTCTGTTAAAATTTTTTTGTTCTGATTTTGTCAAAAAGTTTATGGCAATAATTTATTAATTTTATTTTGTTAACGTGTTTATTCTTAGAAAGGCTCACTTGCAGAATTTTAAAAGCAGACTTTTTAACTCTCTAAATGGTTGGAACAGACCTTTGTACTCAACCAAATACTAATTATCTAGCTACAAAAGTTTCGCTCTACTGTGAAATCTAGTGCCCTGAAAATTTTTCTCACATTTAAATTTATTACATCTAAGTCAATGATTTTCATAAGTGGAAGTTACTTTTAGTATAGTTAATTTAACGCAAAATGAAGTGAGAATGCATTTTAAAAACCACAATTGAGACCTGTTTGGGCTCCCAACCAAAACTTATTGCCTTCCAGTTTTGTTTAACATCTCTGCAAAATTCATGTTACCTTCATCATATGTAATTTCACTACCTTCCAAGGAAGTTCATAGAAAGCAGTTATAGAAGTAAAAATAGTTATATATAAAATTCCTTTTTTAATGTTAACACAGTAATGTTTTTGTTGAAAAATAATGGAGTATGTGCCAAAATATGTGAAAACCTTAAAGAAGGGCATCGACTCATTTGTGAAAGGCACACATTTTGTGATGGCTCCAAGTAAGGCAGGTATTATTGTTGGAACCATAGACCTCTCAAGCTGACCTCCTTGGGTATCTTCAACATAACTTTCTAAGTATGGGACTACATCCATGTCCAGTAACACACTAAATCCATGGTTGTTGTCTGAGACAGGCTGTGGATTTAGCAAGAAACTAGGTACAGAAGAAATTCAGTAAACTGTTGTGGCTAGCTTTATAAATTTTGGGTGCTAATAAAACAAACTATATAAATCGATAGTCATCTGAATCTGCAGAGTCAAAGAATAAAACCAAATTAAATTCTCTTTAATCTGTTGTTTCTTAAAGCAATAAACTGAAGGAACTTTACTTCCATAATGTTTTCTCTGTTTTAGATATCATAGATGTAAAGAGGTCAAGAAACCATGGCTATAAAGAAGGCCTGTTACAGCCATCACTTTAATAGAAGTAATCAATCATCATAGGCTAATAGGAAAATCATAATATGGACTTTTCTCTAGACTAACAAAATATGTGTAAGAAGTGTGAAAATTGAACTAAAATACTTGTAAATGAGGTAGTATTGGATCTTGCAGTCTGCAGTGCAGTTACCATGGGGTAATGTTCTTTCCCTTTAGAAAAGCTTCTTTATTCATTGAAAATTTGTCCTATACTAATATGCCACCCTTTATTAAAGTAATGCATTTTCTAAACTATATTATACATTCAAATGTAATCTGAATGTTTAAGAAAAAGTGAGTTAAATCTTGTGAACTTTCTAGCTTTATTGAAATATTTAAGAGAAAGTGCCTCATTGCTAAAGTGCATTTCTGTTTTAGATTTACTGCGTGAATTTTGACTTCTCTGTTTCTATCTCTTACAAATAACAGCGTATTTAAATACTCACTAGCCAATTAAAGTGATTGCTAAGAAAGTAGATATCACCAAAGACATTTTATCTTTAATAATCATGTTGGAGAGACAGTTTTAATAGTTTGGAGGCTGGAAACTTTCAGATTAATTTTATAGTTTAGCAATAACACTGATTAATTGCTAAGATATCACCAAAGAAAGGCTTTCAACTAAATTTTCATAGTGAGATTAGTGTAGGTTTTTCTTGCTATACTCAAAGTATAGTTCCTTTTAAAGACTTCCATTGTCTTTAAGCACCCTCTGACAGATCTTAGGAAATCTTCAAAGGTGAAAAAAGTAAAACAACAGACTGGATGAAAATGGGAGCAATACATACTTTGAAAGTAAAATTGAGATTTTAAATTTTAATATGAAAAATATTCCGTGGAGGCACTAAAATCTAAAATTACATTTAGTTCTGGGTTCTTAGTATTATGAGAAGTTGTTTTGAAGACAGACTTTGATAAAATTGCTGATGTTCTTACTTGCACAGAAAATCTATTGGACTTACAGAAATAAGTGCTATTTCTGTATTTCAAAGCAAAATTTTCTAGAGCCTTCCCCCCCCCCCCCAAAGGTAACTCCTGTCTTCTCAGCAGTTACTTTATTAGAAGTTAGCCATACAGCCAAACCCGGCAAAATGGCTGCAAACCAACAGCACATACACTGAGCATTAAACCCTCTCAATTAGCATTGCATTCTCCTTGGGAGCTCATGCTGTGGGCCACTGTTCAGGCAATGAAGTCAACTAGACCATCAGGTAAAGCTCCTCAATAGCACTAAAATGGTGCACACTCTGCTACATATTCTGGTTTAGCATACAAAGTTGCATTGGTTGTAGCATTTGCCAAAATGAGTGAGGCTGCCATAACATTAATTTACTGGATTGTAAATGCAGTAATGTGAAAGGCTGTTACAGATGCACATCCCCACAGTACAGACCACAGCATATCTTAGTTCTGGCTTACGACAAGAATCAAAACATGTAAATTATAGTAGAGACTTAAAATCTTTCAAAGCACAAAGTAATTAATTCTTTCTGGATTTACTTGTGTACCTAATTCAGTAGTATTTTGATGGAAAAACAGACTCAAAGTTCCAATATATTACAGGATTTTTATAGTTTTTTTTTAATATGGGGGCATTTTCCCCAGTGATTTAAAAGACTTCAGAAATAGTGTGTCTGCTTGCTGTCCCTACATTTCCAAATAGAATTTTAACACATGAGCACTCTCCCTTCTCAAAGTTATAAAGTTAAACTTAGGAGTACTTTACCTATTTTAAATACTCATTAAAATATATCCATATACTTGTTATGTCCCCTCTTTTTTTAGGACTCAAAGAAATACCTTTAACTATGTTTAAATCTTCAATCAAGTGAAAACAGATGTATGTTAAATATTGGGTTGCATTTTCTTCCATCTTTCAGAGCTGCATGGAGTAAGAAACTAATCTAGTACAACGGAGATTAAATATTTCTGGGCAATATAGAGATAGTAAACAGATTATTTATCCACAGACATCACATCAGCCCACTGGAGCAGGAGATCTACACAATAAAAATGTCATGAGTTCAGCTTAGTTTTGTTTGGGGTTGGATTTCTTTCACTGTATATTTGAGAATGGGATGGGGGCCCAAGTGTCCTTATGAGCTGTGGTCCATGACGCGAGCTGTGGGAGCGCTGGCCGTGCTGCGCGCCTGCATCCGGCACCACAGCCGCAAGCGCCACTTCCAGAGAGCAGCCCTCATGCCAGGCAGCACCATCATAGAATCTAGTGTACAGCTATGTTGCTAGTTTTCCTTTGAAATATAAACTATTTTAAGCTTTTTTTTGTCAAAAGTGGTAACATCTTAATACGAATAAAAACCTTTTTGTGGTTGTAAGATTTAGCTTATAAATCATTCAAATTGAAGTGAAAGAATTACCAGGTCATTGTTAATGACTTAGTCTATTAAGAATATATGTATTTTTGTAAAGGAAAAGCACTTGTAGATATTTAATCAGTACAAGATATATGTCTGTTTTGCAGAAATAAAATGCTGCTTAGAGATTCTCTTTAAATATTTTTTATTTTTGTGCTCAAATGTATTTTCTGTCAATCTATGGAATGTTCTGTACAAAGCTGTATGGTTGTACTGTTGGGCTAGATACTTTTGTTTTTTAAAATCTGGACTTAGCCAAGTATATTTGACCATGTTAAAAATAGTATCTTTGTTATTAAAATTTTGATTGCATAACTTACTGTTTCTGTCATCCTTAAACACTGATAATTGGTAATTGTGGATTGCAACCTTCTTTTAAAAGTCCATGAAGTGGCCCTCCCTGGTGGTGCAGTGGGTTAAAGCAAAGCATTAAGAAGCTAAAGCCACTTCAGCATGAGTTCAATCCCTGCCCTTAGGTGACCCACAAGGCGCAGCAGACCTCTCCTGACCCGCCCGCTGCTCCCCTCAGCAGTGTACTTCATCTTAAAAAAAAAAAAAAGTCCATGAAGTACTTTACCAAATCTTAGTGAAATCTGTTGAGTATTTGAGAGTCAAACATTTTCCAAAGATTCTTGAGCTGTTTGATTTTACAATGGCAGATGTACCTCAAAGTAATATTTAAGATGTACCTCAACAGGTACACTTGAGAACAATTTATTGCTAACCAAGTTCAGATAACCTTTTGAAATTAATTGGGGGTCAAAGAAGAGTCTGAGTAAATTAAAAGACTGCTTTCTTCACCCAGTTAACCTCAGTTTTGTTATATTAATGCCTTCCTGCACTTTTGCCTCAGGAATTCTAGTTAGGCCTAAGACATTCAAGTGGAAGACTGTAGAGATTCTTATCTGCTCGGCTGTGATCTGTTCACTGGATCATTAGGGAGGAGTATTGCCTTCCAGTTTGGCCTAAGTAACTGGGGCTCCAGCCTGTGCTTTTTAGATGGCAGAGGAATTTGTAGGGAGTATCTTACAGAAAGCCACTTATTTGATGCTGTGTTTCTTAGTATTGTGATGCCAGGGAGGATACCCAGACCTTCAGTGCTCACCCTCTTCAGTGGTGCTGCAGAATGGGAAATAACAGGAAGGACTGCACGAGAGAAGTGCTCATAAATGTAATGCACGTACTTTATCATGACACTGGTCAGAATTCACATGGCTGCACCTAACAGTCCTCAGGGAAGGTGGGAGAACACAGTCAACCCATGTTCCCAGGGGAAAAGTCTGCTCAGTCCCTGCCACAAGTCCACTTGAGAAAAAGAGTCCGTTTACCCCATTCTAAGAAGTGTTTGGCCACCCCTGCTCGGCTGTGATCTGTTCGCTGGATCATTAGGGAGGAGTATTGCCTTCCAGTGAGGCCTAAGTAACTGGGGCTCCAGCCTGTGCTTTTTAGATGGCAGAGGAATTTGTAGGGAGTATCTTACAGAAAGCCACTTAGACCCTGCTTGACACCCACTGCTGTGGATTCTGGGGTGCCAGGATTGCCATTGTCATAAGCTAATGAAGAATCATTCACAGAAAGGAGAAATTAGGCAACAAATTATCACCACCAGCTTCCAACAACCCAAGTTCTGTTCTTCCTATAAGCCCAGGTCAGAACCCATCAACCCAAAAGACTTAGGCAGACTTCCTCTTCCACAGTAGCACTGTTATCACAACTGGTAACTGATGTCTGTTGACACAAGCTATGCAACGTCTATCCTCTGACAGATTCCAGGTAGATCGGGAAAAGCTCTGAAAAATCAGACTTTGCACTGCTAACTTATGTTATGATCTCCCTTTTTTGTATAATCCTAATATCAAAATATTCTGAGCAACCTTCAGCTTACAATTGGATTGCCTCAGCCTCAGAAGGCGCTACCTGGCCCTGACAAGCAAGTACTGCACCAGGGTGAGAAATTTCCTCTTGAAGTCAACAGTCATTAATAAAAACAAATGGCTGTTACTGCAAAGTCTCTCTCACTGCCAGACTGAGATAAACCCAAATCTTATCCCTCTATCTCACGTAGCCTTCTATTCAGTTTCTAAATAACCACTCAAGCTTTCTACTATCTAGTCTTTAGATTTGGAAATTCACCCAAGTCCCCTATGCAGAGCTAATCAGGTTTTCTACCATCTAGACTTCAAAAAAACTCAAACTTTTTAACAAGTTTTTCAAAGAACCTTACCTTCATTTGATTTACAAGAAATTTCCTCTTCCTGCCCTCACTTTACTTTACCCCCTAGGATGTCTCTATGAGAATGAAAGCCCTTAAGTAAAAGATAATGTTTCAGGGACTTTAATTTGGTTAATCTTCACTGTAGTAAATATAGTAATATTAGTCTTAAACTTTGTGAATCTATGTACCTATTTTAACCTTGATAGATTGATTTTAAAAATGTTATAATCTCAACTGAAGGTCAAAACGACCCCAGACTATTAGCAAAAAGGTGATTGTGATCTCAGCCCATTTCATATGCTAATGTCATCCCTCTGCCTGCCTAAAGTGTATAAGATAAACCTCTGCTAAAGGCAGAGCAGGAAGACTTGCACCAAACTCCCATTCCCGTGTCTTCCTCGCGCCTGCTCCCCTTTTTTCCCTTTCCCCCCCCTTTTTTAGGAATCTCCGCTCACCGACGCCATTCCCACCTTGAGACCCTGCCTGTTCTGCCCCCCAATAATCCGTGATCAGGGACAAAGTCTCCGACAGTCTGTCCTCCAATAATTGTGCCTCCCTCCCCCACCCCCATGCAAGCCTAGTAACTGGAAGCCAGCAGGCAAAATGTGGACACTGATCTGGTGGTCCTCTTATACATGACATCACTCATTTTGGATTAGCACACTACCCTTATGACCTGACTTATTTTTGATTACTTCTCTAAAGGCCCTGTCTCAAAGACAGTCACATTCTGAAACAGTGGTTCTGGCTTCCATATACAAATTTGAGAAGCCACGATGGGCATTCATCAACTATATTCTGAATAGTGTCCTTCCACGCAACTCTGAAAGAAATCCAATTATTTGAGGACTGCTTTTGTTACTCATGTCACTTAAGGACCAAGAACAGACATTAACAATTATGTCTCATAATAGCCACATGACGCCCCATATATCCAGGATCCAATGTAGGGTCCTTCTGTTGTGCAACTTGCTCAACTGCCTGAGCCTCAGTTTCCTGGTTGGCAAAGTTAACACTCCATTGGTCTGTGGAAAAATGAAAGGCCATAAAAGCACAGGGAGCAATGCTGGAGAAAGCAAAGGGCAACTGGGTGTTTTTCCATCTTGAGGTCATCATAGTTTTGCAACTCACTGCTGATCAGTAGTCTTTGATTTGCTGTGAGCTAAATGATGTCATATACATCTTGTTGACCCAGAGCTATTCCATCCTCACAATAGCTTGCAAAACTCCCTTAAGATGCTAATACATGCAGGACCCAGCACAGACTCAAGCACATTACACATGTCTTCCCTGTAGCATCTGTTTAATCATCAGACAGGCCTGTGAGGTAGGCATTCTTAGCCCGGTTTTAATGATGTAAATGCTACACTCAGAATCACTAGAGATATATTTAGGCCTCCAACATAGGTCTTTCACATTAAGGGTGAGTGTTCTCAGGGTCACTGATTGTTTAAATCTCAGGGTTAAAAAAACAAGAGATCATGCTCAGGCAGCTCCTGGCCGCTGGAGGAAACACATTAAGATATTGGGTCTTATATGTCACTCCTGCAGGCAATACATTGCTCTTAGCGCCACTGTAAACCAGGCACTGTGGTAGGCTC